CATTGGCGGGAAATGATTGTGGAAACGCGGGAGGCGCGCGGGGGATGACATACGGGGTCTCGCGCAGCGCTGAGGGTAATGCGTGTCAACTCCTCTCGCGCCCTTTTTTCCCCGCCGACGCCTGAGTGACGGTTATTAGTAACGCGCTTCGCGCCGCGTCTTATGTGAGGGTTTTTTTTTTTTGAGGAATTTTGCGGTTCATTACGGTTCATTTGCGGCTCGTTACCGTAATTACCCGCGGCACCGGGAGGCTAATTAACACAGAACGGGTCCGAGGCGAGAAGGCGTTTCCCCCGGTGGAGCTGATCCCGGCCGGTTGGGAATTTCTTTGTGTGTGTGTGTCTGTGAGTGTGTGTGTGTCTGTGTGTGTGTGTGTGTGTGTGAGTGTGTGTGTGTGAGTGTGTGTGTGTGAGTGTGTGTGTGTGAGTGTGTGTGTGTGAGTGTGTGTGTGTGAGTGTGTGTGTGTGAGTGTGTGTGTGTGAGTGTGTGTGTGTGAGTGTGTGTGTGTGAGTGTGTGTGTGTGAGTGTGTGTGTGTGAGTGTGTGTGTGTGAGTGTGTGTGTGTGAGTGTGTGTGTGTGAGTGTGTGTGTGTGAGTGTGTGTGTGTGAGTGTGTGTGTGTGAGTGTGTGTGTGTGAGTGTGTGTGTGTGAGTGTGTGTGTGTGAGTGTGTGTGTGTGAGTGTGTGTGTGTGAGTGTGTGTGTGTGAGTGTGTGTGTGTGAGTGTGTGTGTGTGAGTGTGTGTGTGTGAGTGTGTGTGTGTGAGTGTGTGTGTGTGAGTGTGTGTGTGTGAGTGTGTGTGTGTGAGTGTGTGTGTGTGAGTGTGTGTGTGTGAGTGTGTGTGTGTGAGTGTGTGTGTGTGAGTGTGTGTGTGTGAGTGTGTGTGTGTGAGTGTGTGTGTGTGAGTGTGTGTGTGTGAGTGTGTGTGTGTGAGTGTGTGTCTGTGTCTGTGTGTGTGTGTGTGTGTGTGTGTGTCAAAAACCTTGACGCATCTGCCAGAGGTTCTTTATTACGGGATTTGAGAGGAAATCAGCCCTTGACGCCATAAAGTAAATATAAATAACACACACACACATATATATATGTGTGTGTGTGTGTATATATATGTGCATTTAGATTGCATAAGATTATATAGAATATTATTATATTATGTAGAATATCGTAGCCTATATAGATATAAAGAATATAATTAGCATTTAAGCCATATATATATATACACACACACACACGCGCGCGCGCGCGCGTTATTATATAACAAAGATAGATGTGTGTGTCTCCAGGAACAATGTCGCCTCAGCTGCGCTCTCTAGTGGCTCAGACATGCAATAACTGACTGATTTAAGCGCTGTAACCGCAGTTCTGCTTTTGTCCGCTAGATGTCACGCTAACATCACGTGTAAGAAACTTGCTTCCACAGACGTGATGGTCAAAAAGCAGTGATTTCACTGATTCATCATCATAGTGTGTATTCAGCCAGCTGAGCACAGAGTATGTGTATGTACATCACACACACACACTCGATCTGTCCTCTGTTTATTCTCTGAAGGGAGTTTTTCTGGAGCAATCTCTAGAATCTCCAGACTGTGACACATAGATAAATATGATTCATAATGAAAGTAAATAGTGTTTTAAGAGGTTTGTCTTAGTCTGTGGCTATTATAATTAGCGTTAAATAAAAACGACTCTGTTATGTCATAGCTGGTCTCATCCTGTTGAGTCATAAACAGACAAACAGCAGATGTGTTTACAGTAAACATGTTGTACAGTCAGACCTCATTTTTTTTATTCGTGTCATTTGACACAATCCCAGCAAACAATATAATGTTCTAAGAACATTTGGCCAACGTTTCCATGTTTAAGAGGCAACATTAAGAAAAACATTCCATTTTATAATGTTTTACATTAGGGCTGCATAATGATTAATCGTGATTAATAATATTCAAAATAAAAGTTTATGTTTACGTATTATATGTGTGTGTACTGTGTGCATTATGTATATATAAATACAAACACATGCATGTTTATGTTTTGAACATATATTTACATGTATTTACATATATTTATATTCATATAATTTATAAATATAATATATAAACATAACATATTTTCTTAAATATACACATTTATGTGTGTGTATTATATTAATAAAATGTAATATATTCTTAGTCACAATTTCTACCAAGATAAAATATTCTATAGCTTGGAATAAATAGTAAAATCCATATTCATTATAAAAATTTTACAATTTTAATAATGACTTAATAATAATTAAATTTTATAATTAAATTCTAAAATTAATAATGACTTTTCCAGTTGTTCATGGTTTACTATAAGACTTAAGAATCAGGATTTTAAAAATATTTTATGCACAGTTTATGAAATATGTAATATAAATAAAATATAGGATTTGGCCTAACTTTATTTCGTTTTTTAAAGTTATTTGTGAGGGTGTTGCTATGCAGTTGCTAGGCTTAGGGTTTGGATTTCTTTCTGTCTGGTTTAAGAACAGTCCTGCATCCTCGGGTTTCTGGTGTCTAGATGCTTGCTTCAATGGAAGTTTTGCATTATAGTAATTGGGCATGTGTTTTAGCTGTTGTGTAGTGCTCGACACACTCGTGTTTGTCTGTTTTTGACAAGCACACACACTTACTTTCAAATTGAAATGAAATAAATGCTATAATTATGAGCACAGGATGTAGCTGAAGGAAATGTACAGGTTCCCGGCAAACTTTACAAGCTCCTAGACTAATTATAGTGTGTGTGTGTG